AATCTGCCCAGAATATCCCAGACTGTACCAGACAGACCCAGACTGTTCCAAAAACTTCCCAGTCGGTCCCAGTCAGTCCCAGACTGGCCCACACAGTCCCAGACTGCTTCAAAAATATCCCAGACGGTCCCCGTCTGTCCCAGACTGTCCCAGACAGTCCCAGGCTGTTCCAAAAATATCCCAGTCTGTCCCAGACTGTTCCAACAAAATCCCAGACGGTCCCAGTCTGTCCCAGACTGTTCCAACAAAATCCCAGACGGTCCCAGTCTGTCCCAGACTGTTCCAACAAAATCCCAGACGGTCCCAGTCTGTCCCAGACTGTTCCAACAAAATCCCAGACGGTCCCAGTCTGTCCCAGACTGTTCCAACAAAATCCCAGACGGTCCCAGTCTGTCCCAGACTGTTCCAACAAAATCCCAGACGGTCCCAGTCTGTCCCAGACTGTTCCAAATACAATATGTTGATTTCTGGTACGGTGATGTTATGGTTGAGACAGCGGTGTATCTCTTGGTACACCTGGCGCCCAGTAATATAATAATCTATTAATTATTTCTCGCGGTGCCTTTAATTGTGCAATTCATCGTTACAATATATACAGGGATATATATAGGTATACACGGATATACAGGGTGTCCCAAAATTACCTGACCAACGGGGTATGGCGGTGTTTGGGAGGCACCACTGATCACGAAGATGATCTTCCTTTTGTCCGGAAGGTCATAGTTTTTAAATGGGAGCAGGTCAAAGTTGACCAATCAGAGGGAGGCGTCAAGAGAAACGTAGGCACCTACGAACTCTGAGTTTTCTTCCCTCGTTTTTGTTTCTCAGTGGCTTCGGGCATGATGACGTCAGCCGATGTCATGCCTATTGGAAACAAGAAATAAGACACAAGCCACCGAGAAACAAAAGCGAGGGAAGAAAACTCAAAGTTCGTAGGTGCCTACGTTTCTCGTGACGCCTTCGTTATGATTGGTCAACTTTGACCTGCTCCCATTTAAAAACTATGACCTTCCGGACAAAAGGAAAGTCATTTTCGTGTTCAGTGTTACCTCCCGAACACCGCCATACCCCGTTGGTCAGATAATTTTGGGACACCCTGTATACAGAGGATTGAACACCGTTGGAGTGCTCATCAGAGTTTTGGTGGCTTACGAACTCACCTCGCCAGGTTCACGCAGTCGAATCTGCCGCGAAAACGACAGTGGCGGCAATCAGGACGTCACATTTGTTTTATTTCCAATTACAAGGAAAATATGAAGTTTTTCTTGTAAGTAATAGACCATCAATCACCGACAAACGATTTTACGTCGAATTATATAAAAGTCAATTGAAAACATGACAATAGATGGGCTATTTGAAAAAAATTCCCTAGTCAAATTTGTTTTCATAAATTTATATAAACAAATAACCTTCAAACGTTTAAAATAGTCCACCATTCACCGACAAACGACCAACAAACGATACCGAAAAAAAATTAGTTCGTTCAGCCGTGATGAGGGGCTAACTATGGGTGTGTTCCATAACACACTATAAGCACTGGAAGTACTGTAAAATGTGTTCCGAAATTTGTTGCAGCATACTAGTGTTAGTAGCGCGAAATTATTATTTGAATTTTTTGTGCCTCGTACGAGGCTAAGTTCGATGCTGCGGTTACTACGGCTCCAGATGTGAGGCAGATTCATACTTATAAAATGGTGGCATCCATGGTAGAAATATCGTTAATTGACGCACAGACGAATATTGAATATAAAATTATCTTCTGCTCTTATTTTTTTAAATATATAATAGTATGCCAAGTCGTTTAATGACCGACACCTCGTAACTGTAATTTTTCTACCATGATTCATGTACTTACTATACCGTTCCGTTTTACTGTGCTACCAGTACTTCATACTACGTCACATCATTTCGTAACACTTTCACAGCATACTTTATCAGCGCCATGCTGTAAGTACTTAGAGTGTGTTACGGAACACACCCTATATCAAGCTGTTGTGAATATGTAGATGGGAGGCATTCACGTTGTGTAGTGTGGTGTAGCGTTAATGGCACTGAACTCTAACTATACTGGACCTAGATAAAGTTGGCCGTACAATTTTAATTTATTTACTTTTGATAATAGCAAATCGTTTGGTGGACTTAGAACATTTGGTGGTCAACCGTTCGTTTGTAATTAATTAATCAAAATTTACCCGTGAAGTTAGCCGAATAATTTATTTTGTCAACGAATTCAGTTTTCATGGGGCTCAATCGATTGGAAATCGTTTGGTGGTCACAAATATCATAATTAAAACATTTGGTGGTCCTCAATTTTGCCAAAAAACTTAAAATAAACGAACAAGGAATCGGAATATTGGGGCATAAACTTACGGTCGATAATGCAGATATTTCGGGACCGATTTTCCTTTAGGAGGTCTTAATGTTAATCAGAAAGGTGCGCTAATGATAAATAGTCCAATTTCAACGTTTGGTGGTCATTAATTAATGCACTCTGTATGGAAAATCGCACAGATACAGTAGGATAGGCACTAAAGGCTGGAACTGGCCGAGAAATGGATACAGGGGGATTGACGCGTTTTTGCTGATAAAACTTATAATTACTAACCGATTTTTCTTTAAATGGTCTTAATCGATGCAAAAAGGTGCGATAATAATAGGTAGTCTATTTGCAGCGTTTGGTGGTAATTAATTAACGCACTCCGTATGAAAGAGGAACCTACCTTGAAAGAGGTGTAAATTACAAGTTGTATTTTTTACTTTTTTTTTTAGGTACCATATGTAGAACAATAAATTTCCATGATTGCTGGCAGCCGTGAGGATAGGTGTCGTGCGACGAAACCACGCTGATTGGTTAAAAATTGACGGTGAGGGAGTGTACGGTTGTTGACCTCCGAAAAGTTAGCCGGGCAACTTCGACTTATCGAATTTCTATACTTGCACATCGATTGTTAGTCATTTGTTATTGATTGCTAGACTAATTAAAACATTTGTTAGATAATAGTTTTTTTGCAATAACGAAAATAAATTTTAGTGTTAAGTTAGCTGAAAAATATCGATTTTTTCACAGTTTTCGTTTCTAAGCGGGTGCATTAGATGTGGAATCGTTTGTTAGTCCCGAATAAACTAGTAAAAACATTTGTTATATCACGGTTTCGTCTAAAATAGCGACAAATCATCTGCCGGCTGGCTGGCCGGGAGTGGGGGTAAGACGTGGAATGTGGTGCGAAGATTGTCGGCAAATATGTATGTTGTTTTTTGTTTTAAAGTGCTCAAATAATAAATCATAGTTATTTGTTGCAAAACGTATTTTCAGTACATTTTCGGGTGTGTTCCGAAAATGTACTGACAGTATTGCCAGTACTGTAACCAACTCTATGTCCTTAAGGTACTACTTCATGCATGCGACCGCGATACTGACGCGCGCCGAAATCACGTTATTGGTTAAAAATTGACGGGATGTCGGTGTACTTTCGTCGCATGGGGAATGCTTTCTGCCGCACCGACAGTAGATCGGAGATGAACTTTCGTGCGACAGAATTCTATCCTGAAGGTATGATTATCAAAAGTTCAAGACAACTCGCAGAGCGTCGCCATATTTCATAGACGCAACGGAATTCTTCATGGCAGCGTGATTTCGTCGCGAGACAGTTGTTGCGGTCGCGTGCATGAAATAGTACCTTTATGTATCTCTCTACTCATCTGGGTATCGATTGTGTAACTCAAATGTACTAAAAATAATAAGAGTGTATAGCTGTTAGCCAATCGCGTATTAGGTTGAAAAGAAGTCAAGCACAATGATTGGTTAACAGCTATTCACTTTTCGTATTTTCACTACATTTGAGTTACACAATCGACCTCCTGTATGTCACCATATGCGACGAAGGCTGCAAACCGTCATATTTCATAGACGCGACGTAAGTTGTTACGGTCGCATGCCGTACATGAAATAGTACCTAAGGACATAGCATTGGTTACAGTACTGGTAGTACTGTCAGTACATTTCGGAACACCCGAAAATGTACTTAAAATACGTATTTCAACAAATAACTATGATTTATTATTTGAGCCCTTTAAAACAAAAAACAACATACATATTTTCCGACAACCTTCGTACCATTCCACGTCTTACCCCCACTCCCGGCCAGCCAGACGGTAGATGGTTTTTCGCTATTTTAAGAGAAACCGTCATCTAACAATTGTTTTAATTAGTTTATTCGGGACTAACAAACGATTCCACATCGAATGCACCCGTTTCGAAACAAAAACTGTGAAAAAATCAATATTTTTCGGCTAATTTAATACTAAAATTTATTTTCGTTATATCAAAAAAACTATTATCTAACAAATGTTTTAATTAGTCTAACAATTAATCAGAAATGACTAACAATCCACGTACGAGTACAGAAATTCGATAAGTCGAAGTTGCCCGGCTAACTTTTCGAAGGTCTTTTGTTGCATGTGGAGTACTTTCTGTCGCACGAAAATAGAGCCGAGATGAACTTTCGTGCGACAGAATTCTATCTAGTATGCGACCAAATGTGATGAAGCCTGCAAACCGCGAAAAACAAAACGCACGTGAATGAGATTAGTAGATTTTTATTAGATTTCTCACATAAATTTTCAATCCTAGCAAGCTAATGGAAATGACCGATATAATTATGATTATCAAAAGTTCAAGACAACTCGCAGAGCGTCGCCATATTTCATAGACGCAACGGAATTCTTCATGGCAGCGTGATTTCGTCGCGAGACAGTTGTTGCGGTCGCGTGCATGAAATAGTACCTTTATGTATCTCTCTACTCATCTGGGTATCGATTGTGTAACTCAAATGTACTAAAAATAATAAGAGTGTATAGCTGTTAGCCAATCGCGTATTAGGTTGAAAAGAAGTCAAGCACAATGATTGGTTAACAGCTATTCACTTTTCGTATTTTCACTACATTTGAGTTACACAATCGACCTCCTGTATTGGCAATCTCGCTACTCATCTCTGGTTTAGTTTCCACCGTACAGAGTTTAAATAGAGTTAACCAATCAGGTATAGGAGTTGATTGGAATTAACCAATGAGGCTGCTTAACTCTATTTAAACCTTGCACGGTAGAAACTAAGCCTTTGTTCCAATAAGTGGTCTCTGGTCTGTGGGCAGTAATAAGGAAAGAAAGGGATTTTTTATTTCTTGAACCTCGTGTTTTCTTGTAATCTCTAGTAAGAATCAAACACACCGGAGCTATGGCGCAAAGCAAATTCAACGAATTGGCTGGACGTTTGGGCAAAAATCCAAATGGATTAAATACCGGACTGAAATTCTTGGCTGTTGCTGGTGCCGCTGCTTATGGAGTTTCACAATCCATGTATACAGGTTAATGTATAGTAATTCTACAACCTAATCTATACTTTAAGAATTAATAAGTTATATCTCATAAAAAATGTATGTTAACAACACAAATGATGAATCGACCATGTTTTTTTTTTTTATATAATATCGATATTTAAATCATCGATGTTCGTTAAAAAATATTTTTTCTCCCCACAACTTTTAAATAATTTCTATTACATAATTATACTATATATCAGAATTTTAAAGAAATTGAGAAACTTTATTTTATTAAAACAGATTGTCTGATACTCTACTAAATGTATCTGAATCCATTTGGTATTTTCTTTAAAATTGTATTATTTAATTAAATGGTTTAAAGCCAGAAAAAACAAATACTATTTAACAACATTTTGTTTATCCAGTTGAAGGGGGACACAGAGCAATTATATTCTCTCGTTTGGGTGGTGTTCAGAAAGATATCATGGCTGAAGGACTTCACTTCCGTCTTCCATGGTTCCATTATCCTATTATTTATGATATTAGAAGTCGGCCAAGAAAGATTTCATCACCGACTGGTTCTAAAGATTTGCAAATGGTTAACATTTCTCTAAGAGTTTTATCACGACCTGATGCACAAACTTTACCTATAATGTACCGTCAGCTTGGTCTTGATTATGATGAAAAGGTATTTATAATGTGATTTATATGTTTCTATCAAAGCAGCTTTACTATTTAGTGAATTTTCTTTAGGTACTCCCAAGTATTTGCAACGAAGTACTAAAATCAGTTGTAGCTAAGTTCAATGCTTCCCAACTAATAACACAGAGACAGCAAGTGTCAAATCTTGTTCGTAAAGAATTAATAGATCGCGCACGAGATTTCAACATTATTTTAGACGACGTTTCTATCACAGAACTTAGCTTTGGTAAAGAATACACCGCGGCAGTTGAAGCTAAACAAGTTGCTCAACAGGAAGCACAGCGTGCTGCATTTGTAGTAGAACGTGCTAAACAGGAGAAACAACAGAAAATTGTTCAAGCTGAGGGAGAAGCTGAGGCTGCAAAAATGATATCCTTAAACATAAATAATTATTTAGCGACATTAATTATTAAATAAGATTGAATAGTTTTGTCCTTAACACCAGTTTACTTGGGTTTAGCAATTGGTCAAAATCCTGGATACCTGAAACTGAGAAAAATCCGAGCAGCCCAGAGCATTTCGCGCACGGTAAGCCAAAAACTTTTAACTCTTTAACGCGAAAGCCCGACTTAACTCTGATGTGAAGAATAATTACACTAAAGTTGTTTATATGTATGTATTTGATGAATATAGATGCCAGATAAATAATTTTTTTTTTACAATTTTGTTGCAAGAAACCGTGGGTAAAGGAGTTAATCTACTTAACACTTTTTTTTTAAAGTTATTTTTATTATGCAAAAAAATCTATTTTGAGTGTGAATTGTGTCTTGTTTCAGATTGCCAATTCTCAGAATAGGGTATACCTCAGTGGAAACAGTCTGATGTTGAACATCCAGGATCCGACGTTCGATGATCTGTCCGAGAAATTGAAAAGTAAGAAGTAAAAGCACGGAAGGACTGAGTTTCTATTATCTGTCTTCATTGTCCTTTCCATATAGCGTACAATGCTACTCATATAGCCTTCATTATATGTATTAGTCACGTGATAAATAATCATTTGTTAATTATGTAGAAGTTAAAGAAAATTTAATAAGACTCAAAGGTGATTCTCGTGGAATGTGAAATGCTGCGTAGAGGCTTTGCTTTCATTCGTCTTCGAAAAATATTCTTTCTTTCCCTAAATTTGCTTCATATTTAAAACATATTTTCCTGAAAAGATTATGACAACGCAAGCTCGCGAAAACCCCAGATCATCTGTTTTCAGGTCGCGAAGGGATGGGTTGGAAAAGCTGGAACCAAACAACACAACATACTGTTGGAACCCTGAAAAAAAATTCCCAACCAAAAATCCAAAACATTGAAAGGCCCTCTATACAAGCAACTTCCTTAGAAGATCCCGTTTCCCTAATACTTGACTCAGCTGATGATAGCGCCAAACTCATTATTCCCTGAGAGAAAACAAAATCATCGAAGAAATTTGTCATAGCGAGCTTGCCTTGTCTATATGTGAATCTTCAATCACATCCTTCTCCATCATCCAGATCCATTACTATTTGATAATGCTTGAAGGACTTCAGGTATTTGATAATAATCTTATTTTAGGTTGAATTAAAGCACAAAAACATATAACTGATGGGAAGTAATCTCTAAATTAGTTGCAAAAACATTGTCAGACAAGGTATCAAAATACTGCATTAGAGAGAAATAAAAAAGCATTGATAACATCACTGAAGTAAACATAATAAACTGTTTAATTACCATATGTATATATTTTGTAGTATTTTTTTTTTGTAAAAAAATAATTTTTTATTTGAAGACAATACTTACGGTTCTTCAGGGAAAAGTTATCTTTATCTTATTATGCACACCATTAGCACATACAAGTGCATTGAAAATGAAGATAAATTTTTAGTATATCTATTACATTGACAATGGCTCTATTACATTACATCTAGAAAATGATAAGATTTCATCAGAAATTAATGGGTCTAATTTAACTAGAATAAAGCTATCGGATAGGTGCTGCTACGGTGTCTCCAAAAATCACGGATAACTTTTTTTATATCACAATAGTTATCGTTTTATGTTAGCCGTGATACAAACAAACGAGATACAGCAACTAGCGATCGTATTTTGGTGAAGATCGCGCAGGGACCAATGACATCACGTTGAAAGTGACATCAGTTTTTATATTCACCGCTTCACACTAATCAAATCAGTGCTAAATTTTTAATAACATTTTTACAATTTCTGGTGGTTTAATTAATAGTTCCGAGGAGTTACTCACATATCAGAATTACAGTAAGACCTCGATTTTATGGACAAACCCCACTTTCTTGCTAACACTTTATAGAGTGGGGCGCATGTGCGCTCCCCCAGCCAGTACCGTAACTACACTCTAGTGTCGGCAGCCATCCGGGCCCACTTATAGTTTATAATTGAAAGGATGCCACGACCATATGATACGGTACTGTCCACAAGCGCGCGAGTGGCTATACGCATTGTAGGGGCGGAGCTTAGGGAACCTCGATTCTGTGGACTTCCGGTCCCGACTTGTCCATAAAATCGAGGTCCTACTGTAGTTCTTAATATATAAATACGTTCACAGCCTCGATTCAAACAGAAAGCCGACTGATATATGTAAATGTCAGATGTTATGTTTTTTCGTGTAGGTTTTTTAAAGAATAAACCATAATAATAGTCCAATTATACCGAGCAATATCTCATTTTGATTATTGGGAGATTCTTAATCGATTGGCGATCTAGACTTTAGATAATATTAGTAGCTCAAAAGATACAACCGTTTGATTATCTATCCTAACCTAATATCAGGCATACAAGTGGCTGTAACTTTTAAACAATTAATATTATACAAAATCTCGATGGTCAATCGATTAAAGATTTCCTAATAATCCAAATGAGATATTGCTCGTTTATTTATGGTTTATATTATGGTATGTATATATTATGGTTTACACGGCTACACGACTACGTTTACACGGCGGCTTGTACCGATTTACGCTTCGTTTTCTTCGACGCGGTTCAATGCATAAACTCGGCTTAACTATTCTATTAGCCAATCAGATACTTGTATTTTGAAAATAAACGTAGTTTATATATTGAAGCGCGCAGAAGATAACAGGCCTTAAACTACGTTTACACGGCGGTCTTGAACCGGTTTAGTTCATAGATATACAAAAGACATAGATGTAGCATAACCCTGCGGGGGGAAGCCGTCCAGGGAGGGGTGCCGAGGTAGACTGTGCCTACTTGTGATTAGTTACTATTAGAAGCAAGCGCAGCGATGTAAAAGTGCTACGTAAAACAAGGAATAGTAGTGCCAATCATGTTAAGGAACAGTAAGGGAGGGGTCAGCTTGAATTTGATTGGTTATGCAGCGAACTCCCCCCCCTCATTTTGCCTCACGCCCCTCGCCTAAAATATCAGTTTATGCTACATCTATGTCTTTTCTATATCTATGGTTTAGTTAATACTGATCTAAAGGAATTGACCAATCCTGAATTGACCAAGTGTGTTCGAAAATGAACCGAGGCAACGATGTTCGCGCACTTTGGGCTGATCTTAGAACGCAGCTGTCATAGGTGTGTTCGCAAACCAATCATAATGTTTACGTTTGCAATCGAGCTAAGTGAAAATTAAATTTTACTTATTATTTAAAGATGCTTTAATTAAATAAAAAACTAATTGTGGAGTAATTGGGAGCAAATCAGGAGCAATTAATTCATCTAGAAACTCATATGAAAATCTGCTCGGTTATTTGGAATTTCAATAAAAATAATAATTTTCTGTTTTAATGAATATTTATTAATCACTGCATAGTAGCAGTGGAGCAATTACGGAAACATATGGAGCATTTAATGAGCAATTTTTTAAGCATTATAAACATACAAATTTTTATTTTCCCGTGCTAACTTCCCGACGGTCGAGAAGAGCCGCCTTGCTATGGATGCAAAAAACGACAAATTGGATTCGGCTCGTATTTTACTATCTTAAGAATCCAATAGATGGTGTTAGCTGCTCGTCGCCGTAGGTCTCAGTAACGTGAGCGATTTGCGGAGCCCGTAGCATAATATCGTCGTGTCAGAACTACATACATATAGTATATGTGTGTTTGCTGGTATATGTATAGTATATACTGTAACGATTTTCTTATCGCGATCGAAAAGGAAGCGAGGTAATCTTAAGAACCCTCGTTACAAGTACTCGAATTACCGCGGGAGCTATAAGAGAGACAAGAACCGGCGAAAAACCTAGGCGCCAGGTATCCTCAGGGAATACCAATTTCGTAACGTCAAAATACTCGGTAACCGTTTCCGGGATAAATGGATCAACAGCACACTAGCTCAGCCTATTCGTCCTGGAATAGCAAGGGTAGAGGAGCAAGGATCCTGGATCAGGAGGTAGCAAGGTCGCAAAAAGTAACCAAGCAGACATTTCACCAAATATAACAAAGCCCTTTTTATTAGGACCAGAATCACACAATACGTTCACAATGGAGGGACCGCTCGGTAGCTAAGTCCGCATTATCAAAAAGAATAAAAATGTTTAGTTACGTAAAGCAAATTCGGAAGACGCCGAAGACGATATTAATACAGATTGGATATGCCAAAATTCGGGCGCATATGGATTACACTCGGGGTGACAGGGTCACCAAGAATCGTACGATAGCCCTAGTACCCGTAATACAGCGGCGTAGCTAATAGCGTTTCCTGTACGAAACGATAGCCCTAGGATTGGAAGTCATTCGATAGCACTATGACTAACGGACGCGAAGCGATGGCATATCATAGTTCACACATTATACACAAAGACCAAACACAAATATAGTAGAAATATTACAGTGGTGAGTAGTTCTACTTATTCTAGAAAATTCAATATTAAATACAGAAGGCAAATTTTAGATCACAGTTTCTTAAAAGTACCGAGCGAAGCAAGTTAGATTCAAATAGGTAATATGATACGTCTCGCTGTCGAGAAGCGATAACGGCACGTTAAGCTCCGTGGCCACACTCGCGGACGCGGAAAATCATGTATGTAAAATATACCCTAATACTACTAATCGGAATTATACAGATAGTAAATACTCTAGTAAGAGGATGCGACAACCACGGAATTTTCCCAAGGACGAAAGCAACCTCGAATCAGAAGGATTCGAGAGTGATACCAAACAGCAATGCTACCAGGAAAATTGCACGTTAATCGAGTCTCAGAATTCACCGGTAATAAGCGAATCGAAAACATCTGCACACTACCACGGACTGCCAGTGAGAGAGCGATCTATCGGCTAGGCGTTCGGTCGGCGGTGAAAATCCCCCCC